CTCATCATCAGGGAAATACTAATCAAAAACACACTGAGATACCACCTCATGCCGGTTAGAGTAGCCAAAAGGAGCAAATCAGAGGACTCTAGATGCTGGCGAGGATGTGGAGAAATGGGCACCCTCCTGAGCTGTTGGTGGGAATGTAAACTGGTGCAGCCTCTCTGGAAAACAGTTTGGAAGTTCCTCAAAATATTAACAATAGAACTCCCCTATGTCCCAGCAATAGCACTTCAGGAATTTACCCAAGGGATACAGGAGTGCTGATGCATAGGGGCACGTGTACCCCAGTGTTTATAGCAGCACTTTCAACAATAGCCAAATCATGGAAAATGCTTAAATGTCCATCAACTGACGAATGGATCAAGAAGATGTGGTTTATCTATAGAATGGAATACTACATAGCAATGAGAAAAATGAAATCTGGCCATTTGTAGCAACATGGATGGAACTCGAGGGTATTATGCTGAGCGAAATAATTCAGGCAGAGGACTGATGCCATATGTTTTCACTTATAAGTGGAACAGGAGAAAGTTAACAGATGACAATGGGGGAACGGAAGGGGAGAGAATAGTTGGGGAGAGGATAGGATGCAAACCACGAGAGACTCTTGAATACTGAGAACAAAATTAGGACTGATTAGGGTGGGGGACAGTGGAAGAAGGGTGATCGGCATGGAGGTAGGCACTTGTTGGGATGAGCACTGGGTGGTATAGGAAACCAACTTGACAATAAACTATATTTAAAAAAAAGAAAAGGACAGTCTCTTCAACAAATAGTGTTGGGAAAGTTGGACAGCAATATGCAAAGAATGATACTGGACCACTTTCTCATACCATACACAAAGATAAACTCAAAATGGATTAAAGACTTCTATGTGAGACCTGAAACGATAAAATTTTTAGAAGAGAACACAGGCAGTAATTAATATGACTTTGGCTGTAGCAATATTTCTCTATCGTTTGTTACTTTTTTTTTTTTTTGAGAAAGAGAGAGCATGAGTGGGAGAACGGCAGAGAGAGAGGGAGAGAGCGAAGCCCAAGTAGGTTCCATACTGTCAGCACAAAGCCTAGAGCAGGGCTCAAACTCAAAAACAGTGAGATCATGACCTGTGCTAAAATCAAGAGTTGAATGCTTAACTGACTGAGTCACTCAGGCACCCCGAAACATTCTCTAGATATGTCTTCTGTGGCAAGGGAAATAAAAGCAAAAATAAACTGCTGGGACCACATCAAAATAAAAAGCTTCTGCTCACTGAAAGAAACAATCATCAAAACTAAAAGGCAACCTATGGAATGTGAGAAGACATTTGCAAATGATATATCCAATAAAGAGTTAGTATCCAAAATACATTATGAACTTATAAAACTCAACATCCAAAAAACAAATAATCCAGTTAAAAATGTGCAGAACACATGAATAGCCATTATTCTAAAGAAGACACAAAGATGGTCAACAGACACATGAAAAGATGCTCAACATCACTCATCATCAGGAAAATGTAAATGAAAGTTACAACGAGATATCACCTTGCACCAGTCAGAAAGGCTAAAATAAACGACAGGTGTTGGAAAGAGGAACCCTCTTGCACTGTTGGTGGGAATGCAAACTGGTGCAGCCACTCTGGAAAATATTATGGAGTTGCCTCAAAAAGTGAAAAATAGAACTACCCTATGATCTAGCAACTAGGTATTTACCCAAAGAATACAAAAATACTGACTCAAAGGGATACACACAACTGGATGTTTATAGCAGCATTACCTACAATAGTCAAATTATAGAAACAGTCCAAATGTCCATTGACTGATGAATAAAGAAGTGGTATATATACAATAGAATATTTCTCAGCCATAAAAAAGAATTAAAATCTTGCCATTTGCAATGACATGGATGGAGCTAAAGAGTATTATGCTAAGTGAAATAAGTCAGTCAGAGAAAAAGAAATACCATTTGATCTCATTCATATGTGGACTTTAAGAAACAAAACAAAAAACCATAGGGAAAAGAAGAGAAAGAGAGGCAAACCAAGAAACAGACTTGTAACTATAAAGAACAAACTGATGGCTACCAGAGGAGAGGTGGGTGGGAGATGGAATAAATAGGTGATGGGAATAAAGGAGTGTTCTTGTTGTGATGATCATCAGTTGTTGTATGGAAGTGTTGACTCATATACTGTATACTTGAAATTAATATTATACTGCATGTTAACTATACTGGAATTTATATAAAAACTGAAATACATATAATAAATTTTAACATCTATTTATTCAAATTTATTATATTTTATTATATTTTCTTTTCTGGCTTCAAGGTCTTTTAAAATCTTATTTAGGGAATATTTTTGCTAGCCCTCCAGTATTAGATTAAAATTTAAAATATTAACATTAAAATTAGATTAAATTAGAATTTGGTCTTAGGATCATTTTATGATTTCCTTGCTTTCTTTAACATTTAAATCCTTGAACTATGCATTCTTGATTTATATTTTAGTGCGGAGTATAGAATAAAGATTCAGCTTTTTTTCTGGATGGATATCCTGTTATCTCCAAAACATTATTGAATGATACATCTTTTTTCCCAATTAATTTGAAATGCCAGCTTTAAGGGATTTTTTAAAGATATTATTCCCATTTTAGATGAGGAATGAGCTATTGCTTTTAATTCTGCAACTGATTTAAAGGTTTAAAGACTTTAATCACCCTCAGAGCACTTTGCAGTACCACAAGTCAACCTCTCCCTTCCATTTATTCCTCCAACATATTTTATTTTATTTTATTTTTTTCCTTAAATAGCGTATTGTCAAGTTGGTTTACATACAACACCCAGTGCTCATCCCAACAAGTGCCCTCCTCCATGCCCATCACCCCTCTTCCCCCTACCCCACCCCCCCTTCAGCCCTCAGTTTATTCTCAGCATTCAAGAGTCTCTCATGGTTTGCCTCCCTCCCTCTCCCCAACTATTTCCCCCCTTCTTCTCTCGCTTCGTCCTCCGTTAACTTCCTCCTAATGCACCTATATGTGCAAACATATGGTATTTGTCCTTCTCTGCCTGACTTATTTCGCTCAGCATAACACCCTCAAGGTCCATCCACGTTGCTACAAATGGCCAGATTTCATTCTTTCTCTTTGCCATGTAGTATTCCATGGTATAAATATACCACATCTTCTTGATCCATTCATTAGGTGATAGACACTTAGGTTCTTTCCATGTTTTGGCTATTGTTGAGAGCACTGCTATGAACATTGGGGTACATGTGCCCCTATGCATCAGCACTCCTGTATCCCTTGGGTAAATTCCTAGCAGTGCTACTGCTGGGTCATAGGGGAGTTCTATTGTTAATTTTTTGAGGAACCTCCACACTGTTTTCCAGAGGGGTTGCACCAGCTTACATTCCCACCAACAGTGTAGAAATGGGCAGAAGGCAGGAACAGACACTTCTCCAAAGAGGACATCTAACATATTTTATGAGCAAGCAAATGTAAACCATGATATCCACAATAATTATCCAGAGGCACACCTTGAGTTCCCTGAAACCCAGTTTCTTGAATGCCCACTATTTAATAATAATTTTCAAACAGGTACTTATAACACCAAGGCAAGCTGACTTCAAGAATGCTTCTTGGGGCACCTGGGTGGCTCAGTCAGTTAAGCGTCTGACTTCAACTCAGGTCATGATCTCACAGTTTGTGGGTTCAAGCCTGCATTCAGCTCTGTGCTGACAAGCTCAGAGCCTGGAGCATGTTTTGGATTTTGTGTCTCCCTCTATGTCTGCCCCTCCCACGCTTGCACTCTCTCTCTCTCAAAAATAAATAAACGTTAAAAAAAGAATGCTTTAAAAAAAAGTTAAACTCACAGAAACAGACACTAGGAAGGTGGTTAACCAGGCCCTCGGGGAGTGTTAGAAAGATGCTGGTAAAATGGTATGTGCCTTCAGTCATAAGATAAATAAGCTCTGGGAATCCAATGTAAAACATGGTGACTATAGTTGATAATACTGTATAGCATACTTGAAATGTGCCAAAAGAGTAGGTCTTAAGCATTATCACTACCAAAAAAAATGGTAACTATGTAAGGTGATGGATGTGTTAATAATCTCATTATGATGATAATTTCACAAAATATGCATGTATCATTCATCACAGTGTACACTTCAAATATATACAGTTTTATTTGTCAATTGTACTTCAAAAAAGCTGGGAGAAAAGAATGCTTCTCCCCACCCAAGATAATTGACTTGATTTCACAGCTAAGCTTTGGTACAGTACAGCGTTTGAGAGCAGTCTTTGGAATCTGAAAGGCCTGGGCTTGAATTCCAGTTCCACTAATTACGTACTGTGGGAACTTGGCAGTTTAATGTCTTTGATTCCTAGTCCTATTGTCTCACAATGGAGACAGAAAAAGTACCTACCTCATAGGTTACTGCTATGTATAAATGAGACAATCCATATTACAAAGCAAATATGTCATATGGCAAACACTATTAATAATAGAGCTATTGGGGCACCTGGGTGGCACAATCAGTTAAGCGTCCAACTTCACCTCAAGTCATGATCTCATGGTTTGTGAGTTCGAGCCCCACGCTGGGCTTTGTGCTGACAGCTTGGAGCCTGGAGTCTGCTTCGGATTTTGTGTCTCCCTCTCTTTCGCTGCCCCTCGTTGCCCCTCCCCCACCTGTGCTCTTTCTAAATAAATAAATATTTTAACAACAACAATAATAATAATAATAATCATGTGAGGTATCATTATTACTTTGGGAGAGGGTCTAACAACATGCAATAACCATTAGTTTATTATCTTCTGGATCCTCTGCTAATGATAACTCCCTAGCCTGTTGCCATTGATATTGGAGTTCCTTGGTGGTAGGAACCTTGCAAATATATCCTCCAGAGGACCCAGTACAGTGCTGAGCTAATAACAGTTATCAATAACAAGAGTAACAGTAACAACAGTAAGAATAACAGCTCTTGACAGTAGTCTGTCCTTGCCTGTGGGCTTCTTACCTCAGCAGGGAGCCCTTCAAATCGGGGATGCTTGCAGTGGGAGTCATGATCATTCCACTGCTTGAAAAATTCTGCACATCTGTGTGGATGACTCTCATTCAGGCTCTCTTCTGTTTGACCCCGGACAATTCCACTGAGACAGACAAAGAAGGACAGTTTGGGGCAAAGAATTATGTGAGGCCAGGGGCTGGGGCATGAAAATGAGAGTTTGAAGACCTTACCCAATGCCATGAATCCCTAAACCAATGACGTAGACGATAAAAATATGGTGAGTATACCAGAAGACCTCAAAATAACTCCTCCGGATAAACTCCGTAGCTGAAGTCACCATGAGAACCAGAGCTATTGTGATGATCACTCCAGTGACACCAGCGATGCTGGTAAATGTCACATACTCCACTGTCTATAAAAGGAGAAATTTCAGCCTGAAACAATGTGTACCATACATACCATGCCCTTCCTGCTCATGACCAGATCCCAGATGCTTTGCCATTGAGTCAACTCACCACGTCTGGGGACCGGATAGGATTTAGCCAAGAATCTTCATCTTTCTCTTGTTGAGATAGGGTGGAAAGAATGGAAGCAAGGGATCCATCTGTGGCCTGTCGGCTTCTGCTGTAGTGTTCAAAGTTGAACAGATGTGCGATGATGTGAATAGCTAAATGGAAATATGAAAGGGAATTGGAAAGTGTCTTAGAAACATCAGGGCAGACATGCCCTACTAGAAAAGGAGAATTCTATATATATATGGTCTGGCAGAATGCCGAGTCTACAGAAGGCGCCCAATAAATCTTGATTGCAAAGAGAGCCAATATTTTTTTTATACTCATTCTATTACCAAAAGAATCGAATGTAAATTCCGTGAAAATAGGCCTACAATGGCGCATGGCAAGTAGAGCCAGGTGTTTGATAAATACTTTTTGAATGTCTAAATACATAAATAAATGAAACTACACTCTGAATGCCTGGGGCCTTGCATTTTTGTGGTTTGCCACAGTTACCTGTGTGTAGGCAGATCATATACGCTACCAGTTTGTGGAAGGCGAGATTGTGATCCAGTTGCTTTCCCAGGCTACGCCTGCAAAACTGCAAATGGGAAGTCATCAAGGTCCGGTATCTGCAGGAAGCTTTATAAAATTCAGTAACCCATAACCAACATGTCTTAAACAAAGCATACCTATACCCACCCACCCTTGCCAATCCCCTTGGCTTCCATTCCTAGGGGTTTGGTATTAGGTTGTCCTACTGAGGAGTTCAGGATCTCTTGTCTTTAATGTGAACGTTGTTGACCTACGAGTGGCTGGGACTCACTGAGCAGGTGCCTCTCAGGAAGGACAGCAGATTTCGACACACAGGAAGCAGGATCAGCATGCTGTTAAAATTCAGGCAGCGTGCAGAGGCTCGAGCCCAGGCCAATGCTGACTAGAGCAGAGGAGAGAAGAGATCATCAGTTGCTTCATCTCATCATCTAGCAGGTGAGCACGCACCCAGTCCACTTCTCTGGGAATGGACAGTGCTACATCTTCCTCACCTCCTGTTCAGTAGTTAGCACAATCAGTCTAGACTCTATGTTTGCAAATGACAGAAAATTTGCTGAATTTAATAGTGAATTGAAAAATTCTCATGACAGTGGTTTGGAAATATTTGTACAATATGAAAGAGAACAGGATTTAGTAATTTCACATTAACAAATACAGTCTATAAAAAAAACAAATATACTCTATCAATGTAATACTCTGCAATGAGTATTTTTGCCCAGCACACTCAATTATTACTTTGTCATTTGTAAAACAATATTGAAGAGTGTATATATTTTTTAGTGTTTGTTTAATTAATTAATTAATTAATTTTAAATATATATTTATTTTTTGGTGGGGGAGGGGCAGAGAGAGAAGGGGAGAGAAAGAACCCCAACCAGGCTCCACACTGTCAGCACAAAGCCTGTCACAGGGCCCAATCTCAAAAATCATGAGATCATGACCCGAGCGGAGATCAAGAGTCAGATGCTTAACCAATGGAGACACACAGGCACCCTGAGGATTGTATATATTTTTATTTGCATTTTAAATAAAGCTTATATATTTAGAGGTGTAAGTACAGATGGTGACTATTTTTTCTCTTTTCTGTATTTTCCATTGTTGTAATTATAAGCATGTAATAATCATGTAAATAAACAATAAAGATTTTAACCATTTATATTTAGGATGTCTTTAATCATTGAATAAAGCTTAGGCAAAACTAGTGAACCCCTTAGAGCAAAAAATTTAAACTTAGGTAGAGATCTGAGAATGGAGAGCTTCTGAGAACAGAATTTCAAACTGATTTCCTTGGGTGGCCAGGCAGCATACATCAAGATCAGTCTGATCCAGCAGTAGAAGCTGCCAGAAAAGGAGACAAGGAATCATTGCTTTAAAGAAGTATTTAGCCTGAAAACAGGCTTGGTTAAGTATAGACTTGACAGAATATGCTCAACTCCATGGCTGTTAAGTTCAACTTCTCTCCTTAACTCTGTGCAACTGGCCTCTGAGTCAGTTCCAACTACTTGGGACTGCAGGCTATGGAGGGTGACAATCTCCTGATAGCAGCAGAGGTGGTAGCAGCAGCGAAGCAATTTTTGTTGCACTTTAGCCAGCCCTACCTTTATGCTATCAGCAACTGGCTGAAAAGAAGAATGTGGGTTAGAATTAACAATTTCTTGGCCTTTTTCTAGTAATCTTTTTCCCCACAAACACTATTTTTCCATATAACCGAAACCAGAGAAATGTGACATCAAGTCAGATCAAGATCTGCCTAACTTCCATAATGGCTTACAATGTCAGGCAGTGCAGCGAATAGAGCTGCCCCACTGTGTTCCATTTCTGATTCTTCCACAGGATCTGTTTTCTCCCTCTGCTGAGTCACACTCCAAGTGTTTTTGAGAGAGACATCCTGTTCCATTTCTGAGTAAATTTTCTCTGCTCATCTCAAAGATCTTCCATTTCCATATTGGTTTGCACAGCTTGCTTATTTGAGTCACAGAGGTTTCTTAAAGCTAAAATTGGCAGGTGAATGGAAAATATAGGACTACAATTTCACAGCTCTATATTTAGTAGGGGATATCTGTATGAGATAAATTCTTTTTAGAGGAAATCTTTTTTCACCATTGCAGCACATTGAAATATCCCAATTTTTGTTCAGTTTTCAGTATCAACATTACCTGATGTTCTAGTTCAACTGTTGCTGTCCTTAATGTCTTATTGACTATAAATTTTTAATGTTTATTTATTTTTGAGAGAGAGAGAGAAAGAGAGCACAAGCAGGGGAGGTGAGAGAGAGAGAGAGAGAGAGAGAGAATCTGAAGCAGGCTCCAGACTCCAGGCTCCAGGCTCCGAGGTGTCAGGACAGAGACCAACATGGGGCTCAAACTGAAGAACAATGAGATCATGACCTGAGCTGAAGTCGGAAACTTAACCAACTGAGCGACCCAGGCACCCCCTTATTGACTATAAATTTAAATGGCTTCTTCTGTTACTTATGTGCTCTGCTTCATAGTGAATCAAATAACTATTTTCCTAGAGGAAGCACAAATTTAAGAAATGCACTACAGGGGCGCCTGGGTGGCTTAGTTGGTTAAGCGTCAGACTTTCACTTAGGTCATGATCTCACGGTTCGTGGGTTCGAGCCCCTCATCGGGCTCTGTGCTGACTGCCAGCTCAGAGCCTGGAGCCTATTTCAGAGTCTGTGTCTCCCTCTCTCTGACCCTCCCCTGCTCACGCTGTCTCTCTCTCTCTCTCTCTCCTAGAAATAAATAAAAATATAAAAAAAAAAAAAGAAATGCACTACAGAATGATTAAATAAATTATGGCACATCAATGCCATGGACTTCTATTTTCTTAAAAGGATGAGAGTTATAGGCAGTGGAGTAGCAATGGTATATGTTTAACTTTCAGGGGAAGTGTGGGGGGGGTGTCTTGATATCCAGCATTTGCTAATTGACATGATGTAAATATTCCTGCCATGGGAGATTTCAAGATATCAACTTTTTGTCACTGAACACCATTGAATACAGGGATGGGAAGAGATCCACATAACTGGCTGTTGTGAGCCGTTACGAGCTAGTTTCAGCACACCACTGGTTACATACTCAGATGGAAAGATATCTGAAATACATTACATGTAAGAAGCTATTTCCAGCCAATATCTACAATGTGATCCCTGTTTTGGCTAAAACAAAAATCTATTTGCTACTGTGTTTATCAAATCTCATAGAATGTTGCACCAAAAAAGAACAAATTTTACTGAGTACAGGGAATTAAGAAGTGAATAAGAATAGTACCTACCTCAAAAACAAAAACAAAACCTATATGTCTGATGCATATGTCAATGTTTCTACACAGACACACACACCACAACTATTACCAGTGGTTGTCTCTGGGGAATGGGATGGGAGGGTAATTTTCACGTTTTACTTATACACTTCAGTATCATTTGATTTCACTGAAAGTAGTAATATTAATTTATTTATTTTTAAATGTTTTATTTATTTCTGAGAGAGAGAGAGAGAGACAGCATGAACAGGAGAGGGTCAGAGAGAGAGGGAGACACAGAATCCAAAATAGGCTCCAGGCTCTGAGCTGGCAGCACAGGGCCCGACATGGGGCTCGAACCCACAAACCGTGAGATCATGACCTGAGCCAAAGTCGGACGCTCAACCGACTGAGCCACCCGGGAGCCCCTGAAAGTAGTAATATTTATAATTAATTCTTTAATAGAGAAGAATTTTAAAAATGAAGTGAAAAAATGTCCACAGGATATCAGCATGATTCATTTTTCTGTGGCTGACTTTTTGGTCATAAAGCAATTAAGCTCTCAATAACTAGTCACATTTATTGCATCACTTTCTTAATAAAAAGCTATTTTTAAAATAAATTAACACTTCCTTTGGAGTTATAATTTCCAAAGAAGGTTCAAGTTTCAACATTTAAAATGGAAAACAGCAGGGTGAAATACATCATGAACAAAATGTTCAAATTAGTTGTGATCTCAACATGGATCATTTGATTAGAGAGAGAAAAGGATTTTTTAAAAGGACAAACGGTCTTTGAGCATGTACATTAGAAAGGTCTTTGTGGAAAGCGAATGATCTAATCAAGATGAAAGTGCTTTAACCAAATCCCTTACCTACTGAAAACCTGACTAGTGTCAGCAGCCAAATTTGCTTTTCTAATCAGATAGTGGCTAGGTTGATGGGCCTGTGAGAGAATCATTCTCACTTCCATGCTTCTTCCTGGTCACCTCCACACCAATGTCCCCTAACCATTCCCTGCCCTTCTTCTTCTGTTCTTGACCTGTGACTTCCATAGCCTTCTCCATCCTCTTATTCTCACCTGTCCCCTGCCGTTCTTCAGGCCCACCCCAGAGACTCCCTAAGCATCCCTCTTGTTTGATAGAGAGTTATCTTTCTGTGAGATAAGTCCACAGTGGTGGCTTTCAAGTTGTTTACTTGTTTTATTTTAAAAATTTTAAATGTTTATTTTTGAGAGATCACAAGTGGGGGAGGGGCAGAAAGAAGGGGACAGAGGATTGGAAGCAGGCTTTGAGCTGATAGCATAGAGCCTGATGTGGGGCTCAAGTTCATGAACTGCGACATCATGACCTGAGCCGAAGTCGGATGCTTAACCGACTGAGCCACCCAGATGTTCCTGTTTACTTTAAACCAAACTCTTTCTTAAAACCATAAACAGGAGTCCATAAGACAGATAAAGACTGCTCTAGTTGAAGTAGAGGCAGGGGCAAGAGCACTACCCAGTTAGTTTTCCCTTCACACCTTATAGGAGCACTTGGGTTTCTGTGGAAACCAGTTTGAAAATGATTGCTTAATAGTTTTGTTTACTGTGTGTTTTTATTATTGGATCTGAAGAGTGTGCTCTATATAGGGCTATCAGATTTTAGTGAACAGAAATACAGGATTCCCACCTACATTTGAACTTCAGATTTTAAAAAACGAATAATTTTTTTAGTATACATATGTCCCGTGAAACATTTGCAATATACTTATACCAAAAAATGATTTAATTTTCTGGAATTGAAATTTAACTGGGCAACCTGTATTTTTCTGGGCACCCTCACCCTAGAAGAAATCAAGGCATTGGGTCTCAAAGGAGCTGAGGCGACAAATAACAACAGCAACAACACAAACCCCCAGAGATTCCCCATATTACAACTGTGATACTCACCCCCAGGATTTCTCTTGTATAGAAGTACTTATCGGCTTTCTCATATGACAAGAAAGCGTGCACAAACAGGAAAACATTCAGCCCCAACCAAGTAGCCTAGAGAAAAACAAAAAACAAGCAAAGAATAAAGTAAAATTTGGGTATGGGAAGGAATAGGTAAGGAATAGGAAATAGTGTCATCATTTTGGCTATTTTGTGTTTGTTTTCATTTTATTTTATTTTATTTTATTTTATTTTATTTTATTTTACAAATAGTTTATTGTCAAATTAGTTTCTACATAACACTCAGTGCTCATCCCCAAAGTGCCCTCCTCCATGCCCATCCCCCCCTCCCCCCCACATCCATCAGTCCTCAGTTTTTGTCAGCATTCAAGAGTCTCTCATGGTTTGCCTCTCTCCCTTTCCCCCACCATTTATGAGTACAATACCTCTAGCATCTAACTTACTCTCAGAGAGTTAGTACTTCAAGACATGCATTAGATGCTAATGACCAGGGTCAGCAAATCAAGGCCCATGAGCCAAATGTAGCTCACCACTTGTTTTGTACTGCCTACAAATTAAGAATGTTTTTTATTTTTCTATTTGTTTTCACACATTTAAATGGTTGGAAAAATGAAAAGAAAAAGAATATTTCATGATGTGAAAATCACATGAAATCCTAATTTCAGTGTCTGTAAATAAAGTAGAATTGGAACCTAGCCACACATACTTATTTTTATATTGTTTATGGCTGCTTTCATAATTCTATGGAAGCATTTAGTAACTGTGACAGAGACCATATGGCTTGCGAAGCCCAAAATATATACAACCTAGCCCTTTACAGGAAACATTTGCCAACTTCTGGACTGGAGCATTCAAACTATTGCAACTGAAAGATGGCAATAAGTGGATAAATGGATTTCTAGAGAAACAGGGGATAAATTTAACATCTATAACAATACCCATCTGAAAGAGACTAAACCATTCCAGATGGGTCTGCCTCTTTAATTACACCCTGACACACATTTTCCTGTTTTAGATTGTGAGTCTCTTTTCAAATTAACCTACCATTGCTTTGGACTCATTTGAGCTCTTAGGACTGCTTTTGTCTATCCCAAGCTTTGTCTCTGTGCTGGGCAAAGGGCCAATTTGAACCCCATTGCCCCATTGCCTTGGAAACCAACCAACATGGCCCTAGCCCAAGCTTGGAGGTGCTAGTTTATAACTGAGCAGGACTCTAGGGCACTAGGATGCCCCTAATATATAGCGTTGACCTCAGGATGGATCAGAACCATCTCAGTCCCACAAGTAGAGGGTCTTTAGCCTAGGACACGGCCCATTCAGAGTCCTTAGATCTGGACTGTTCACACACCTCTAGCAGCATAGCATAGTAATTTAAGGTGATATTAGAGTCAAACTCTTCAGGCTCAAATTCTAGCTCCATCATTTTCTTGTTCTTTAATGTTAGACAGACATGTGATTTGACTTCTTTGAACCCTAATTTCTTCTCCTATAAAGTGAGAATAGTAACAATATCTACCTCACAGCAATGCTGTGAGGCTTTGTGAAGTCATGCATGTGAAGTGATTAATACAATGGTTGGTGCATAGTAGGAGCTCAATAAATGCTAACTAGAGACTTGTGTCATTGCCAGGGTGGCTTTGCCAATCCATTTCTCCCCGCATCCTTTGTTTAGACACCCTTTCCAGAACTGAGGGTCTTTCAGAAATTTGTTGATCCTAATAGAAAACGAGAGGTGAAGGACACAGATTCCTCAATAGTTCAGAACACAGAAGAGAGAAGTTTATTTAGAGATTAGAGAAATATTTCAGGATCCAAGAGAAACAAAGATAAAGATCTCTGTGTCAGACCATCACCAAGTGTAGGCAAAGTGAATACAGTGACGTCTGGGACTAAGGAATTTCATTTCCCACCCTATCATTTCTTCCATTATCAATGGAGAGTGAAATCGAAGACCTGGCAAAAGGAGGAGTAAGAGTGTTTAATGAGCAATTTAATTTTTATGTTAAAAAATAGTGCATAGGAGGGTCACCTGGGTGGCTCAGTTGGTTAAGCATCCAACTTCAGCTCATGTCATGATCTCACAGTTCATGAGTTCAAGCCCCATGTGGAGCCCTGTGCTGACAGCTCAGAAACTGGAGCCTGCTTCGGATTCTGTATCTCTCTCTCCCTCTTTCCCTCTCCCACTCAAACTGTCTCTCTCCCTCTCAAAAAAAAATATTTTTAAAAATTTAAAAAATAGTCCATAGGAGTATATGGCAGAGATAGCAAGAAGTCTGAGCTTACCAGCAGGATTGGTACAGGGTGGAAATTCAAAGCTAGATAGTTAAATGTGAGTCACCACAATGGGTATTGAACCATAAGCAAAAACTAAGGAATGGTTACAAAATACAGAGGATTTTAGAACTAGAAACAGACTTATATTTGTATTTAATCTAGTTATTTCATTTATCTTCTCCCACACACAGATGACCTAAAGTCTAGAAAGGATAAATAATTTTATCAAGATCACTCAATTAATAGCAGAACTGAAACTAATTCCCAGGTTCCTTGTCTCCTATACTAGTGCAAAAGGAATTGCATATACTACATTGAGCATTGAAAATATAAAGCATAGTGTAACCAGCCCAGATAAGCACTTGGCCTTTTGTTAAATGCAAAACAAACAATGCTCCAGGTGAATATGATTGCTCTTCACACCTTTTTTCCTTGAGCACGTGGACAGTCCCTGGGGACCCAAAGGAGAGAAAAGAGAACCCCAGAAGGAGTGATAACATGAAGATCTAGGAAACTGAGAAAGCACAGGGAGTTCCAAGTTCAGGAGGGGCTTAGAAATGGAAAATGAGGGTGGGAATAGGTGTGTGTGTGCTGTGTGTGTGTGTCTGTGTGTGTGTAAGGAGAAGGGGATTGTGCGTATGTGGTGTGGTAAAGAACTTCTGGCCTAAACACTGGGAAGCTGAGTTTGAATGACTGGTTCTACAATCAGTTCAGTGTGTGATATATGGGTCTTATTTTCCTTTGTAAAATAAAGGAGTTGGTTTATATCTGCACTATGCAATGCCATAGCCACTACCCATATGTGATCATTTGAAATGTGGCTAGCCCTAACTTAGATATAAGTATAAAATACATATCGCGTTTCAAAAACTTAAGACATTAAATGCTTTCATTACTATTTTCTTTTTTAAAATATTTTTGACTGGAAAGTTTATTGGTAATCTTTGTCAAGCATAATTTAAAATTATTTAAAATAGGGGCACCTGGGTGTCCCAGTCAGTTAAGCCTCTGACTCTTGATTTCAGCTCAAGTCATGATCTCATGGTTTGTGAGATCCAGCCCCACGTCGGGCTCTGTGCTGACAGCATAGAGCCTGCTTTGGATGCACTTTCTTCCTCTCTCTCTGCCCACTCACGTGCAATCTCTCTCTCTCTCTCTCTCTCTCAAAATAAATAAACATTAAAAAATAAAATTATTGGGGCGCCTGGGTGGCTTAGTCGGTTAAGCGTCCGACTTTCGCTTAGGTCATGATCTCGCGGTTCGTGGGTTCGAGCCCCGCATCGGGCTCTGTGCTGACTGCCAGCTCAGAGTCTGGAGCCTGTTTCAGTCTGTGACTCCCTCTCTCTCTGACCCTCCCCTGCTCACGCTGTCTCTCTCTCTCTCCTAGAAATAAATAAAACATTTAAAAAATAAAATAAAATAAAATTATTTAAGACAAATTAAAAAACATCTATTAAAGGTACATAAAAGGTACTTTAAGGTGAAACCAGTTTAGGAAAATTGTAGTATCATGGTTAAGAAAATAACAAGTATGGCAAGCTATACATTTTTAAATTATAAAAAATCATTAAAAATTAAATATCTGGGGCATGTTGTGGCCCAGTCAGTTAAGCTCCAGCTCTTGATCTTGGCTCAGCTCATTATGTCAAAGTTCATAGGATTGAGCCTTGCACTGGGCTCTGCACTGACAGCATAGAGCCTACTTATGATTCTCTCACCCTCTCTCTCTGCTCCTCCCCCACCCTGTGCACTTATGAGTGTGCTCTCTCTCAAAAATAAATAAATAAACTTTTAAAAAGTAAATAACAAAATATGTCTTGCTGTTGCTTTGGGGAAAAGGTGGGGACAAATATGTTTTATTTTAATTACATATATTTATTAAAAGATCTTCCATATGACATTGTAAATACCCCCATTTCTCTTGTATTTTGCTATAATACATGAATTCACACAAAGGAGATGGAATACATAAAAATACAAATATGGTAGAAAAGTAAACCACATCACACAGTAAATTATTACAAAAAGCATAACCTGAATATATAAGGCATATTGGTTTTAGAAAAAGAGCACTACTCACCACATCTTATTAATAATTTCAATATTAGGGCACCTGGGTGACTCAGTCAGTTAAGCTTCTGACTTCAGCTCAGGTCATGATCTCACAGTTTGTAAGTTCGAGCCCCACATTGGGCTCTGTGCTGACAGCTCCGAGCCTGCAACCTGCTTCAGATTCTGTGTGTGTTTCTCTCTCTGCCCCTGCCCCACTCATGTTGTCTCTGTCTCTCTCTCTCAAAAATAAATAAACATTAAAAAAATAAATTCAATACTTGTTACATATTGAAAGGATATTTTTGATATATTGGGTTAAACTAAATATATTACTACACATTAATTTCACCTATTTCTTCTTACCTTTTTCAGTGTAGGTACTAGAAAATTTTTACATTACATATATGGCTCCCATTACATTTCTATAATCGACAGCACTGGGGTGTGGTCTCAAAGAATCTTTCTACATCAAATGTACAGTGATTTTATGAAATCTTCATGTTAGCAGTATAGAAAGGATGAAGAGAAATGAATGCTGCATGGTAGTAGAAGTGAGATGGAAGAGAAAAAGAGAAGATAGAAAATGAAAACAAATGAATTCCAAATACTTGTGGTTTCTATCATTTGTCTCTTTACCAATCAGTTTCTGGAGCTGGATTTTTTCCCCTTTCTAAAATGGTGAAATATAACATATACAGAAGATTTTACAAAACATATATGTGTTCTCTTAGAGTTTAGCTTTTTAACTGATAACTGGCCTTAATGGACAGCAATTATTTCCATTTCCAATAACTTTACAAATGTTAATAAATATACGTCTCCTTACTCTGTTAAGAGTAATTAATAGATAGTAAAATGTCACTTACCAGAAACAAAACTGAGAACCAGTAATTAACCACCCAGTTGCCCATTGTCAAGAGGTGATTTAGAGTCTCTCTAGGCAGCAGGGAAGATTCAGCAACCAGGATTCTGGAGAGGTTCTTCAGGATTAGGTCTTCTGTCTAGCTTAGGGTATTTAAGTCTTAAAGATATGAAAGATGCACAATTACTCAAAAAGCTTCAAGGGATGAATAAACACATTCTGCCTTCCTCCTTCTACGGAACTATGTTATCAACTTCAGTAGACCAGCCCTACCTATGAGAAACACAGGGGTTTTCCCTGGTGGGGTCTTATCCCTTCAGGAAATAGCAATCTTCTGGAGTGAGAATATTCTCTCTCATCATCTTATCAACATGACCTAATGTGAGGCATTGCTTTCTTTGATAAGACAATTTGCTAAGTTTCTCACTAAAGGCTGGGGCTATAAACAAATGACCTCAGGAGAAGCAGGGCAGAAAGCAAGCATGTTAAAAGCTTTAAGGTGGGCTTTCTCTTCTAGTATGATGGATTAACTAGAGTTGTGTGTTCAGTTCTGGGCACTGATTTTTTTTTTCCTTTTCTAAAGTGGTAAAATATACACAAAAGCAGGCATAAAACATATATATGTACTTTAAAGAATAATTTTAAGGAATGAGTATTTACGTACTCATTACCCAGGTTAAAATAATAGAATATTTATTTCCAATATCTTAAAACCCTCTGGGTGTCCCTTCCTGATTACAACTCCCTTTTATCTCTCTCTCCCCCATTGGATATAACTACTACCTTGAAATTTGGGGTAATTATTGCCTCATTTCTCTTCATAGGTTTACTTACTGAATACATCCCTAAACAACATACTGTATTGTTTAATTTTTCCTGTTTTTGAACTTTTCAATAAATGGAACCTAGCTGTTTGTATGTATGCTCCTGTGATTTGCTTCTTTCACTCACTATTGTGTTGGATGATGATAGAAAAATATTAATAAAATGATACATATATGCTACAGTTACTCTACAGTATAAATCCTGGAATGGAATTCCTGGATCCTGGGATTTGCACATGTACAACTTTACTACATAATGCTAAACCTTTTTCCAAAATTCTCACATTAATATATAATCCAATGAGGCATGGATGAACATTCCACTTCCTTTGCATGCTCTCCAATGCTTGGTATTTTTTGTTTATTAGAGTTTTATTATTAGACTTTTTTATTTTTATGATTCCAGTGAGCATAAACTGTTACTTTGTTGTGATTTTAATTTTCATTTCCCCAATTACTACTGAGGTTCAGCATCTTTTATTTCAACTATTGAAAATTCAACCTTTGGATTTCTCTTTTGAGAAGTGCATATTCTAGATTTTGGCCTGTGTTTCTATTTTTTTCCTATGGTTTATAGATTTTAGAGTTCTCTTTATATCTGATATTAATCTGTGATTGGTTACATTTATGGCTTGTGTTATCCTTTCAAGAATGTTTTTTGATAAATAGAAGTTCTTAACTTTAACGTACTCTGGTTTATCAGTCTTTTTCCTTTGTAATTTATACATTTAGAAATTCTTTAATACCCAGAGATCATTAAGATATTCTTTTATATTTTCCTCTACAAGTTTTCTATTTTTGCCTCTCACATTTGTTTTGACTCCATCTGCAGTTGATGTTTTTATGTATAGTGTGATGTAGGGGCCCGATCTACTATTTTTCCATATGCAAAACTAATTGTGTCAGCACCATTTTTGAAAAGTACAGCTTCTTCACTGATCTAAAATGTCAGTTCTATATACAGGTGGGTTTATTCTTTAACTCTATTCAGTTCACCCCATGCTACAGCCTTAATTTCTATGGTTTTATAATAAGTCTTGACAGTTGATAGGGCAAGTTTCCCCACCTTGTTCTTGAAGAATGTTTCAAGCTATTCTTGACCTTGTGTACTTTTATGTAAATTAGGGATTCAACTTCCTCTTGCACTTCCTTTGTTACATTTGTTGCTCAGTACTTTATATTTTTTATAGGATTGTAAATTATACCTTTTTATTTTAATTTTTAATTGTGGCTATTGCATAAAAGGGCAACTTATTTTTACATATTGATTTTTATATCCAGCAATACCAAGCTTATTAATTTTATATCCAGCAATTTTATATCCAGAAATACCAAGCTAATTAATTCTAATAATGTTTTGGTGTTTAGTCTTTGGATTTTTATAAACTAAGTCATATTTTTGGTATAATGACAATTTTATTTCCACCTTCCTGATTTTTAGATCTTTTATTTATTTATTTATTTATTTATTTATTTATTTATTTATTTGGCTTACTGAACTCACTAGAACTTCCAACACAATATTGAGCAAAGCTAGTATTAGCAATCTCCTTATTTAATTCCCAGTCTCAAAGGGGATTTTTTTCTTTTTTTTATTCATTTATTTTTTAATTTACATCCAAGTTAATTAGCATATAGTGCAATAATGATTTTAGGAGTAGATTCCAGTGATTCATCCCCTATGTATAACACCCAGTGCTCATCCCAAAAAGCATCTTTCTTAATCCCCCTTACCCATTTAGCCAGTCTTCCCACCCACAATCCCTCCAGCAACTCTCAGTTTGTTCTCGTATTTAAGAGTCTTTTATGCTTTGTCCCTCTCCTTGTTTTTTATTTTTATTATTTTATTTTATTTTTTTAAAATTTAATGTTTATTTACTTTTGAGAGAGAGACAGAGAGAGACAGAGCAGGAGCAGGGAAGGGCAGAGAAGGATGGAGACACAGAATCCAAAGCAGGCTCCAGGCTCTGAGCTGTCAGCACAGAGCCCGATGCTTGAATCCACAAACTGTGAGGTCATGACCTGAGTCGAAGTAGGACACTCATCAACTGAGCCACCCAGGCGCCCCACCCCTTCTTGTTTTTATATTATTTTTGCTTCCCTTCACTTATGTTCATCTGTTTTGTATCTTAAATTCCACATATGAGTGAAGTCATAAGATATATATGAGTGAAGTAATAAGATATTTGTGTTTCTCTGACTAATTCCGTTTAGCATAATACTCAGTTCCATCCACGTAGTTGCAAATGGCAAGATTTCATTCTTTTTGATTGCCGAGTAATTCTTCACTTTATATATATATACCACATCTTCTTTACCCATTCATCTGTCAATGGACATTTGGGCTCTTTCTGTATTTTGGCTATTGTTGATAGCAATGCTATAAAGATTGGGGTGCATATGCCTCAAAGGGGATTTTTTCAACACTTCACCTTTAGGTATGATGTTTGGTGTAACTTTTTGTAGATACCTGGCTATATGTTCTTATTTTACTTTAGGCACAAAAGTAAATATTTATAATAAAAAAAGAAATCATAGCGCAATTTTAACAGCTTTATTGAGGTATAGTTTACATAGCCTAAAATTTCCTCGTCATCAGGGTACAACTCAATGCAAAGCACATTTTATATTTTAAAAAGCTGGATATCTCTTCAATATCACAAAACTCATAAAAATAACATAACATTTTCATTAGCTGTCTAACACACCTGCAACTTGGTGTCACAATGCTAAGTGAAATTAGCACAGTGAGTGGTAAGGTTATTCTTGGAAGCCATTCCTACACTAAGACAGCTAGCAATCAGTTAACTATACATGGAATTGTCAGTGAACAACATAATATATATTCCCCTAAGCCCAAACTAAATAGATCACCAACACAAGTTCCCCTTAACTCTACCAGAACTGTTCATCGCCACTCCAGCATGCCTTGACTTGAGGGGAAGTATGACAGGGGGAGGAGGAGCAGAAAGAGACCATCATCTTAGCCATGTGTAATAAAAATATCTTACTTTTGCAAATTTTACAAAAGGACTTGATCATGTCCAAGACCACACTTTAAAATAGAAACTGAAGCCTGTCCATGGGAGGCTAACCAGGATGATGTAATGATTTGAAACCATCTTATATTAGGAAGTGTTGAAAGATTTAGGGAATTTGTCCTGAAAAAGAGGTTTGTTGGGAACATGGGCTTATTGATGTTTGGATTTTTTGTCTTTTTGGAGAAGGTTTAGTTTGTTTTGTATGTGATCCCAAGAGGTCTACCTAAGACCGAAGGCACTAAAATAATACATTTATGTTCAATATAAAGCAGAATTTTCCAATACAGGTGTTCAGAGAAATGATGAGGTAATGAGTTTCTTGTTATTTGAGATGCTTAAGGAAAAATGAATGACTCCTTGCCAGCTATTTTATATAGGGGATTTCAGCACCAGATGGATGGTTAATTAAATGTCTTTGACGTATCCTCCAATGTTGAAATCCGTGATTCATAAGAAAATGACATATAATCTAGATGACAATTCATGCTTTGTCTAAAAGATTATAAATGCCACACTGAATGGAGCTTTGTGTCTGTGGGGAAGGGCCCCTATTCCCAATATCAGAGTACTAGGAAGTCAGTTGATAAATTGGTGAGCATAGAATCTGAGCAAAGATGGTCAGATGATCTTAATTGAATATTATTATTAAACTGCAGCTGCAGGATCAGTTGGGCCCTTTCAAAATAAGATTATATTAATGCAAATAAAATATTCGTGCCTCAAATCTGAGGCTCCTCTTTCTTGGACAATGCTGGACACGCTAAAATATCCTTACTGTCAACCTCCCTTTTTTGTAAATTCTCCAAGAATTGCTTTCCTTCTTTTGGCTGTAAACATTATAATACCTTCCTCTTTTTTGTTTTACCAGACTGTCTTAATGTTTGCATTTCCCAGGTTTATAGATTGACAAGTTTGAGGTTGGCTGCTTCCTGGAGACCTCTAGGGTGTACTTAAATGTCATCAGTAACCTACCCACAGCTATACTATATAGGCTTTAGTCTTTTGTGAAGATTTCCTGTAGACGGTTGATCCCACCCATCATAGGTAGATTTCTGTAAACTGCAAACACACAGCCCCTGCCTGACTTGCTTGCTCTGTCTCTTCCTGATCACTTGCCTCATTATCATCCCAAACGTACCTTTACGGTTGTAACTTTTGTATACCTTTTCCAGGAATTAATATAT